CTCTTCTGTAGAGGCTACTCAATTCTATATGCAGACATTACAGACTCTTCCCCAAGTGGGTCCCCAGGAAACATAACTTCKACACTGACTAAYGYTCAAAGGGTTTTAAAGTTGGACACTGGACACTAACCCTTCCCATTTCAAAGAACTTGATCAACTATGAGGTCCCCATACCATGGACTGCTTTGCCAGTTATAACTTAAGGCAGCTGTCTAGATTCTACTCATGATGGTTTTGCACTAGTTTGCATGGAACAGAACTGGCTTCTCACCCCCAGTCCATTTGATGACTTAAAGGACAGTAGTATGCTAATGGCGTCTCACTACATCCACAAACTTTCCTACCCAGTCCAGCAGTCAGCGACTTGTTTGGTCATGAAACCCCAAATTTCTATATCCTTGCGGTACTCCTCAGATTCTGAACTGTTGATGACAGTGTCCCAGCCATGGCATAATTGCTACAACTTCTCTTAACAATGACTGTTTGGGCTCCAAGTAGTTATTAAAGGCTGTGTAAGCTATTGTCCAGAACCATAGCATAACACTTCAGCTTAATGAAGGATAAGCTTATTATTATTGTCAGCATTACTGGCTTAAGCATATATCCTGCTGCTCTTCTGAACTATAAGTTACTGTCGGGTTTACCACTAAACTGATGGAGGCTACACTTACTAGCATGTTTCTTAAGAGAAAATTAAATTTGCAATGCATAAAGAGTGTTCTCTTCACCGCAGTGATGAATGTTACAGCACAAAGTCAAATTAATGATATTTATCAAATTCATTTCTTGCACATTATCTATCACAGCTTTCATTGAACAGTATAGACTGTAATAATGAGCCTTTTTGAGTATTTTTTTAGATTTTATGACTATCTTTATGGCGTTATTACAGGATAAATTCACACYCGATGGTCATGGTTAAAAGCGAACACAAATGTAAAGACCTCTGTACCTTGATCCAAACAACCAACAACCATTCAACCAAATGCCAACAAAAAAAAACAAAAAAAAAACAAATACAAACCAAATATAAAMTGAATAAAACCCAACTATATAGTTGGGAATACTGAGATGCTAATTTACACATGTATTTTTGTCTAGTATCCAAAAACTTACAATGTTGATGTAAACTTCCAGTCTACAGATGTACATGTAGTCAATCACTTTATGTATCAAAAGACATACAATTTTGATGTACAGCAATAATCCCAGATATTCCAATTTATCTTTCATACCACTTGAGTTTTGGAGTAATCACATGCGCTCTAAGAGTGACTTTATTAACTAAATAACTGTTGGTCACTTTTTGAMAACTGTAGTAACTTATTTAACTACAGACGAGGCTTGTTTGGCAGTCAGTGATTGGCTACAGTAGCTCTGAAGCAGATTCGTCTAAACKTCCATGATGRAAATTTTTGAGTAGTCTCCAGCTCAAAAGATTCAATACATGGATTTATAGGAATTGACTATCGCTTTGCTACTTGATTGGTATTTATTTATAACAATCAACAGTTATCATAATTTGTACATTTCAAACTAGTTTTCATAATTCACAAACACTGAGATAACTGCTCAACAGCAAAAACGGGATATCAAAAGCAAAACTGACTATTGTTTGCCCGGCTTTTGTCCAAACTCAAATTTCAATTTAATKTCCTTTTGACACATGTCAAATGGAAAGTTTACATAACGATGACTTTTGACAACATAATTATGGATTCTTTTTCCAAAAAGGGCAAAAATTTTGTTTTGTCCTCCAGATGAAGCTGCTTGTAAGTCACATGCAAGGGGTCTATCGCTTTTGTCTATTGTACTGGCTATGCACAGGTCAGTAATTGTTTTTTCTAGGTTGTGTGTTAGAGCTGTCAAAAATGTGGTCATCTTTGGGAGATGTGCAAGATTCATGATCTTCTATGATCTGTGGTTCTGGCTAAAACTTGTTGATGGTGCACTCTATGCATTTTGCTACTAACTGCTACTTATGAATTGTTTAGTGACTTCATATCAGCAGCAGGAACAAAATTATTGATTCAATATGACTTTGTTTCTTTTCTGAATTGTTGAACAACTTGTTCCTTCAAATTTTATTTTTTATTTGGACATTAGATCACCTCCTTTCCACTCTATATTTATTTTTTCCTACCTYCATCATCCATCTCAGTCCATTTCAAAAAACATAATAATTATATTAATACTTATAATTATATAGATACCTCTTCATAAAGGATTTTGTAGCTTTTTGTCTCCTCTGTTGGGTTACAATAAAATAGAAATGGTTAAAAAATACTGACAATACAACATTAACTATTACTAATAATTTGGGCAAAAAATGTTGGAGTAGATGACGTCATCTACTCCAACATTTTTTGCCCAAATTATTAAGGATTTGCATGAATATTTTCTTGAAATCTGTTGCTTCATGATTATTACACCCATATGGATAGGTCTATTTGATTTCCAAGTCTTTTCTAATGTTTCGCAATTTTCGTCTAAGTAGCCCTTTAATAAACAACTGCAAATCACACAAAAGTCATCAGCATCTAAAAACATCATTGAAATCACTGTTTATATTATATTAATTTCGTTTAAADAGCGATGAAGAGATGCTAGCTTGGCTAAACATCTCTGAATGGCTAAGAGAAAATCACCAAAGAGTGATTTCCCTAGACTAATTTTTATTTCATTGCAAACAAAATTATTGCATATAAAAGTAATAATATTTTTTTGGTACTAATTTGCATTATATAAAGTTCTAAATGTTATGTATAAAACACTTTGAGTTCTAGAAAATTTCCTTTTTAATTAAATGGCCTGAAAATCTACGGAATGCACTAGAAAGAGTTACTTAGAAAGCCACGAATTTTATATTTTTAAAATAACTATTTTTAATTACATTTCTCRCGAGCTTAATAGAAAGTTTAGCTATTTTGAGTGGTTTTCTTTTCAGGAATAAAGCATTTGTCATGCAAAGGCCCAGTATAGGACATTGTTTGGTGATTTTCTTGAAAAAAATGAAATATTTTCAAAAGGCAATTGCATAGCAATAGTAAAAATAAAAAATAAAAAAATAGCATAGTGTATATCTGTTTCTCACCCCTCCCAAAAAATCAATTTACACMGGCTAAATCATACCTTATCTATATACAAAATATATTAAATAAATTTGATTTTTCGAGCCTTGCCCAGATACGTTTATTCATTGTGTGAACAGACTCAACTCAACAGAATCCAGTGAAACAGCCACCATACATTACTTCATAATGAATTTGATGTGGGACACTAAAATGTGCTTTGAACAGTAATTCGCACATGAACAGTTTGTACCTTTAGTTTAGTTTAGTTTAGTTTAATTGGATTTGTCAAGCAAAACATTTATAAACTTTTACGTACATGCTATTTCATCTCTTTGTATCTTTCGGGACTCCTGTGTTGTCTAGCAATTCATTTCAAAGAGTTTGAAATTCACTAGATTGATATAAATAGTGTGTTTCTATGCCATTCTATAGGACTGAGTTTTGGGACATTTGGGATAMTTTGAAGCAGTGATAAGTGTTTTATAAACAGTAAATTAAATTTATCAGGTTTTTTAAAACATTCAGTTTGTGATAATTTGAAGSAGTTTTGGTTGTTCGTACATGTATCTTGAGCTAAATCACTAAATGTATGAATGAAAATCCAGTACTCGCCTTCTTGATTCATCCAACTTGCAGTTTGGTTATTGATTTTATGTAAGCAKCTAGCTGTAGGCTGGTTCATCCAATCCAACAATAGTCCGAATACACAACTTGTTCACTAATACATTTCTTATAAAAAATTATGGCTAAAAGTATCTCGATGTCATTTTCTGGCCATAAACAGCCTGTTTGCAATCCTAACCTCTTGGCCCAAAGCAATCAGATCTGGTAGGCCATTTATATATTATTAAAGAGTCATATCTGGACCATACCTCCAGTGATATTACAATTGCTGCAATTAACTTTTACATGCTAACTCGCTMTAGTGCTAGTCTCACTTGAGTGAGACCACATAAGGTTAACCAACATATTATTAAATAAACAAGAAAACAAATAATAAAGCAATTGATTACTTGGTAAGTAACTAATTGTTGTGCAAAATATTGCCAACACAACAAGATGACAAAGTTTCAAGTCACATTGGCTAGGGGTGGATATSTTATTGTCATACATGTACTTCCTATAAAATAATAACTGCTCTTTCTGCTCTTTTTCCACTCAAATTTCAAGCAAATTACAAAAACACACATACCAACCAAACATAGCACTCAATTCCTACGACACCATAACAGAAAAAAAATATCTAACATAAAAGTATTGTCTCAAAACTGACAAGATATAACTTACTGTTATCATCCAGCACACACTTAGGTTGCCACCAGTAACCAGTATATCTATCAAACTCCTCTTGTGCTATAAATGATGCCACACCTGCTGATATTGGCTCTTCCAACAAATTAAGGGAACCATTGTTAGCATGTGTTAGTCTGCGTTCTTCACCTGTTTCTAGGTTAGTAACCCATATGTCATTACGATGTATAAATGCTGCTAGGTTAGGATTGCATGGACAAAGTTTGGAGTCCATTTTGGATTCAGTGGCTTGGGAATGAATTTCTGTGACAGCAAATGGTAAATGCTCACCATCCTATTAATGGAGAAGAAAAAATATGAGATGAAAAAAAATCACCATTACATTACCTGACAACATACAGTAAATAATAAATGTTTGATGCTGGCCTTGAGACAACTACACACAAATGAGACCAATCATATTTTCAATGTGTCAAGGAGGATGAACTGGTCAAGCTAACCATGGGCTAGGCTGACTTAATTTTACCTTTTTGTCTCTATACTATCTATTATAATACATCTAGACTATTTATTATGTGGCGAGGCCTTTGTCCACTGTATGATTCCCAGAAGTCGAATATTGTTTTTCGTTTATGGGCATTTAAAACTAAGAGCTGCACACTCATGTTTTATTGCCCCCAGAGGCCAAAACCCGAGGACACATTCTAGGATCCCCCGGACGTATAAGGGAGAGAGAGGTCTGATAAACGCTTAGGAAAAAAAATCTCGATTTTGATCATCGAGGCGCGCTAGTGGTATCGGTATATCAAAACCATGTCTACAAAATTTAATGTACCATCCATATATAAGTTTGAGTTAGTACACATAGAATAGTGTGAAAATAGGATTAACCTAAAAATTTGAGTTCACAAAGCCATCTTGGAAAAGCCATCCACGATAGACAACACGAGGTGTAAGTTGCTGAATTTCACTCATTAAGTATACATGTGTACTTATTCGATCGACTGAAATTTCAATTTACTAGTAAGAAATAAGAGATTATATATCATTTGAGAAGTTTAATAGATGTTTTAATAGATGTTTTAAGTGTTTCACTGGATTTCACTGGATTTCGAAGACACAGACAGGATCGAAAAGACTTGATGTATAAGCGATAAATTGCACATCTTAACTTAAGTGTATGCTAAGAAATCGACTGAAGTTAAGATTTAGGGAACGTTTTTAAACATTTTTAAATGATTAAAATCATTATTATATCATTCGGAATTGCTTGATTTCATTGGGTTTGTAAAACACAAATCATGAACCAAGGGATCGAAAGAGTCGATCCACAAACAATCTGTCACGAAGAAATGTTTACAAAAAGTCACCAAAAAGCTACCAAAATTAAGCAAACGTAAGAGCAAACAATTCTAATATGAGACTTACATATAATTTTTTCACTATTTATACTTGATATATTTCTGTAATTGCTTTTCAACTATTAGTGMAATGTCCATAGTTAAATACACTTATTTCATAGGAATCTCTTGAATGTTATGTTTTACATTGTATGTTTGTCAACTAATCAGTTATACATACATGATCCATTAGGATCATGCATAAAATCAAATGACTTCATTATCGGGCTTGTGCAATTCCGAGAACTTTCAAAACATTACTCGTGACTATTAATTCCAAATTGTACTCAAGGTCGTGCAATTTCCTATACAAATTTTGTTAAAACTTAAAACTTGTCAGTTATTATTCATGTATTTTCACCTTTTTTTTCCTTTTTTTTTTTAAAAATGATAGTAAAACTAGCAAGCTTTGAATGAACAATGTTTGTCAGCTACAGGCATTCTTTCATTTTCAGATASGTCAGATAGCTATATAAAAAAATAATTACAAATAAATGCCTCCCAGCTACCAAGTACAATAAGAACATACTAGATTTAACAGCAGGGGCAGATTTAGTGAGAACTATTACTAGTATATTAATATATTATTTGTTAATTAACAGTTGAATCTCCCAAAGGAAATGTCCTTCAGAAACAGAAAAAAAGAGCTGTCTGCCCTTACTAGAGCATCTGCAAGTGGAGGTTCTTTTTTATTGTAATTTTTACATGATCGAGTTGGTTTTCTTTGTTATTTCACARCTCTATCTCTCATGTGTGCATATATTCAGCTCTAGATGTACATGGAAGWTGGCTAAGCAAGAAAAATGCAGCTCTAGTCCAACTTTTTTAAGTGTTAAGAACCTCCTAAGTGCATATAGAGCTGGATATACACACAGCTAACCAYGAACCATTTCTTTTACAACATAGAATGCTATTTTTGTATTGTTTGCAGCTAATTTTAAAAGTATTTGATCAAACTCATCGTGCGAGTTAAAACAGGGATAATCGACATCAAACACAAATAGAAATTTTCAAATTTTGAGACTCTTCACACATTTATTGTGTTATGACTCTAATTAATTGAAGACAGACAATTTTAAAAACCTTATTTGTCTGAAAAAAATGTGATGCAAGTCTATGGTAGATCCACTGATAGTTCATAGGAATGAGCAAATCAGAGTGCAYATTATATAGTATCTATATTTATTTTTAAAAATTAAGTATAAAATTACTGCACCTAATCAATAATTTCATTTAGCTGAGCACAGAAAATAAGGTAATATCTATTGATAAAAAAGTTTCAGTCATTCATCGTTCTAAAAAAAAACTACTAAAACTTACATTGATAGTAATTTTGTGCCTGATTGGACTTACAGTAATAAGTCTAATAAGCTTATGTATTATAGGAAATAGTCGCTACATGTAAGTAGATCTATGACGTACAGAATGTTGGAAATATACTTGTCAAATATATAATACATAAAATGCTAGGTGCAAAAACAAACAAAAAAGCTGTTACCTGTTAGAGCAAAACGCTGTGTGTGACAACTGTACGTAATAAATCACATAAGTAAGCTTAAGTTATGAAAAAAAAWTTGTAATTAGCAAATAGWAGCGGTACAAACCTTGTCCACACACGTATGTAGTCTATTAGATGATGCAAACAAAAACCTCCCAGAGGCATTGTGGTAGTCATAAGAAGTGATTCCAAACGATCCAAGTCTTTTCCTCTCTCGAAGTAGCTGCTCTTCTCTTGAAAAGCCGGCAAAAGGTCGCGTGACGTCTAAATGAAGGAAAGTTGTCCATTCGAGGCATTCCCCTAAATTGCTGAAGCTAGTTGGAACATCCACAAATTGTATAGTATTCTCGCGGCTATTTGGAGGCACTGCTAAGAAGTACAGTCTGTTTCCGTTAAAAGTGAAAGAGTTAGGTATCCTATTTAAGAGCTTTTGCTGGAGAGACCTTGTAGCTCGCACGGCAAACTGCAAATCTTTCCATGTCCTATTCTTGTTCATAAAATATGTGTGCAGTCTTTCCACGTTAGCAGATTTCGGTCCTTCATTTTCTAAATCTGAGGAGCCGTTGAACATTTTTCAAGAGTTTTGCACTTGCAACGCATTAAAATATGTTAAAATCATACCTAAAAAATCGATTGATTACCTGGACAGCCGCGCAGAACGCAGCGCGCAGCATTAACGTTACTATATGTCATGTCAGCGGTGTTATTATTCATCTACTAGCCTGGCCTTCGTCGCCGAAGATCCGAAGATATGAAGAATGTTACGTTGTAACGTCGGAAAAAATCGGTGAAACTAGGATTGGGTTTTAACTGCAGYTTACAACTTGATTTTCACTTATAGTTACATCTAAATGCAAAGTAAAAAAAAYTGTGAAAAACGTAGAAAAGTAAAATTTGTACTTTTCTCTATCTGAAACGTTTCCTCTTAAATTTAAGTAAGCATTCGATAGCTTTTCGGAAATGCTTCTCGGAAGTGCGTCGTCCTCGTCGTCCGCACGTTCCTACCCAACGTCACCGAACGTAATAAAGATGGCTACCGAGAAATTGAAGATTTGTGATGTTGAGAAAGAAATCAAAGAACTTGAGGGACATAGCGAATCAATGGAGCAAATCAACGAAGAAACGCAGAAAGCTATAGAAATGTTAACTTCAGGAATAATGACTGAATTTTTGCCAGAGATGGATGACATGAAAAGTCGTATAAAAGAGCTAACGTAAGGAATCACCAAGTTTTCAGATTCCGAAGAAATCRCTGAAAGTGACTCAAATAGGCAATGTGCGGACGCAATTTTTACAGCTTAACGGTAGTTCTTGTAATTATTATAGATCCTAAAGTATCTCCCTAAAAATCGTTTCTATGGTTTATTTGTAGAAACGGTACAACTGCGTCTATGCCATTTTTACTCAGAAAAAGCCAAACTGTTGACTGAACATAAAACTTAAAGTGACATGAACGTAGAATATAGGACAGAAATGATGTTGAGTGTACCCTGGTTCCAGAGGCTTGTCTTTTATCCTTTTGCTAACTATGTTATGGAGCCGCAAAGCAACAAGACGTTTTCATTAATCGGTTTGTTTTTACGCCAAGCCTCTGATCTCAAGCGTAGGCAATCTCACTTTCATGCTGTATTTTAGCGAAAAAAATCACAAATCAGAGTATTTTAACTGTCAAACATGTGAAATACACGAACCAATAAGGGATCATCGTAGATAACAGATAATATGACTCTGGTCTGTGTTCGGTTCGCTAAATACAGCATGAAAGTGAGATTGGCTACGCTTGAGACCAAAGGCTTAACGTAAAAACAAACTGATTAACGGAATGTCTTGTCACTTCGCAGCTCTATAACATAGTAAGCAGAAGAATATAAGATAAGCCTCTGGAACCAGGGTATGTTGAGTGGTACAATTTGAAAACTTTCCCAAAAATTGTGACAAAGTGACTTCCACTCTAAAAAAGAAGCTACAATGTACGAGATACATTAATTATAAATCAATCATTTGTATTTGTATCAATAGACAGAACCAAGGGATACTTATTGAGACAATACAACAAGAAAATACCAAGTTCTTGGAGAGTCATGAAGCTAAGGCACTTCGTGAAGTAGTAAGTATCAAAGCTCCCATACTGACTGTAGGCYTGGRGCTAGYCRCCATCAATGGTCAGGGTTCCTTCAACCTAAGACAAGGATTAACCAGGTTCCTGATTTAGGGTAGGGCTAGAATACGTCGGGAGGGTTAGGTTTTGGAGATAGTGTAGGGTCTGTTTTAGGTTTAGGGCTTTTTTCCATGTTTCAAACCACCTCCCCCCACCATTTGTTTTTAATGGTATTTGGGATAAATTGCACAAGTGATGTTTCAAAATTTCACTGGAAAGYACAGCAAACAATAGTTTGTTTGATTTACAATGAATTAGTTTTCCTTTTATATTACTATTATTAAAARTGATGTTATAATGGTATTGTTGATATTAGGTATCACAAGTTCAGAAGTATAACAACAAATTAAAAAAAATTCATAATGATATGGGAGTGATCAATGAAAGAATTGCTAGGCTAAAGGTATTTATTGTTTGTTATATTCTGATATTTCTGTTATATCTTTATGATACCCTTAGTTCTAACAAAGTTTGTATTATCAYAGGATGCACATTAGAGATTGTATTAATTTTGTGACATCAAATGAAACCCAAGAATTGGCAATTTTTTTTTGGAAATAAGTTTTGAGTGTAAAGAGCTAGTGAGCATAGTCCATATYACAAGTCCACCATTTTGAATGCACTCTTGACACACTTAACAAGTGATACTAAATAGTGTTGATGGACCTCCCAGGATACTTCCCATAAATCTKTGCGSCACGCRCATCAACCTGAKGTCAGTGGGCTGGCGAATTTTAAGGATATTTTATAACAAAGCCATAAAAGACACAATAAGACGATACTGTTGCTGGTTTCAGAATTTATTGATACATAATAATCTGAAGCTAAATACAAAATCACAAAGTTACTTATAATGGTCTATAATCAGTAAAACTGCATRTATGTTACTTCAAAATCACATAAATATCTGCATTAACTATTGACTTACATTTGTCCAGCAACATAATCTTGTATTTGCCCTTTAAATCACATATTTTGAACAGTAACTACCAGTATAAATGATTTCAAAATGATACATAAAAGCACATGGCATAAGTTCTAYTTCTGCGCATGCGCGAGTCCAAAGTTCAAGTTTCTACCACAGGAATCCCCATTACTTTCATAAACTTCRACTAAAGTCCTTCTATGGGGTAGATTACTGAAATCTTGGTGACTGGGTGTCTGTAGATACCGTCGTCTGTAGATACCGTCAGCTGTACGTACACTCACGTTGCGAACCAGTCCATCGTTGCCAGGGAATACCTCTTCAATGACTCCAGTGTTCCATTTGCCACGTACATCATTATCATCTTTGATGAATACAACATAGTCATTGACTTCGRCATTGCAGTTCTTTGTTTGCCACTTCTTTCTCTGGTTGAGTGCAGGTAATACATCTCWATACCATGGCTTCCAAAATGAGTCAATGATTCTTTGACAGAATTTAAAGCGGCATATTGGGTTTCTTGAATCTTTGAATGGAACCTGAGGAATTGTACTGGAATAGCGACCAAGTAGAATATCATTCATTTTGATGAGGGGCAAGTGGAGTGATGAACTGACATGTCATTCCTCGGTCAGTGCAATACTCTTTGAGCTGTGTGGCATCCCAACCATCAATCATTTCCTTTAATTCTCTGTTTGCTCCTACCATCTGAGTACCATTTACTGACAAACATAAACTTGGGATAACCTYGTTGCACAAAGAACCTCCTTAGCACCTGAAGAAGCTCCATAGAACKGGCCTTTGTTGCAAGTTCACAGTGTACGGCTCGAGTGATCAAACACATGAAAATCACTCCATAATGTTTTGCTGTCTTGTTCCGGACAACCTTTACTTTGACAGGACCGAAGTAGTCACATGAGGTGTACATGAATGGTGGGRTGTAGGGCTGTTGTCTGCATTGTGGTAGGTCTGACATTAACCGTCCTGAAACTCTTTCTTCCATTTTTGTTTTACCCTCTTGGAGATACTGTTGCCTTTGATGATCCAGTATTTCTTTCTGACTTTAGCTGTTGTTGTTGCAATACCTGGATGCCCATACTGGTTTTCATACATCCCTTAATTTTATGATAATTTCAGAATTCAATTTTCCCTGCTGCAATTCAAATCCCTCCCCTGCTTTAAGAATGTGGTAAATATGAAAAATAAAGAACCATGAATAACAAAGATCAAGCTGCCAATGGCAACATAACTCGGAGATTGTGAGAGCTGCTTTTGAAAGATGGTCAGATGTATTTTGAGCATTTTATTAACAAATTAGATAAGTTATTTATTAACAAAAACATGTAATAGATGATCAGAAAAAAAATCAGAACAATAAGATCAGAACAATATTGGGAAAAATGCAATTTAACATTTAAATTGGATTAAGAATTAGTATTAACGAACAAGATAAGGTTTGTGAAAAATTTGAGTAGCTAATGCCTTTAATTCATGTATTGAAAGAACAAGTGTATTGGTAAAATTTATCATAACATTGTTTGGAGCTCCTTTGCTTAAGTATAAAATCTGTGAAATCCACATTGTTCTTTGATTATTCCTCATGCTCTTGATTTGCAGTTTTGTAGAATTATTCAAGTGCTTTTCTTCCGATCACTGTTTAGCGGGTTAAGCTTCATTGATAAAAACATAAGCTTATTAGTTCAAAGAGGAGAGAGAGACATCGAAATTTATCGCCGATCGCCCGGTATTCTTCTACATCGGAGCACTTATTAGCTTACTTATAAGTTATTCGTTCTCGATATGCAAGAAGGTTTTATAGTAAATTTCTCCACTTTGATAGCTGACCTGAAGGTCCAATGCGGATATTCACAACCTGAACCATTTCCTTGAAATCTTATTTTCTACGTAAAGCTTGAAGTTCGGCCGAAGTTCATCAACAACAATTTGCTCGAGAATCTTCAAGTACGTTTTCCCTGACTCTTTCTAACTGTAGACACACACTTGAAGTGGAAAAAGTTTAAAACCTTCTTTCAATTTGCACAATTTACGCCAAATAATAGAATCTTAAATACATTTCTTCGTAGCAGTTTTATTGATTATGACACAGGAAACCCGTCGTTTGATCTGGTGTCGGATAAAATGTTGTAAAACAGTCATGACGTAATACTAACGGGCACATGGTCTAGTGGTAATGTCTCTGCCATTGGCGCGGAAGGTCGGGAGATCGAGCCACTTCGGGTACATGATTTTCTTCGGTTCGAAAAAAAAAGAAAAAGGAAACAGGTAGACCGTGAAGATAAATTTCTACTAATTAACAAGTCAAAATATAGCCGTTTCTAAGGCAACGGAGTTTACAGGAAAGTGAGTGAGTGACACACATCGTCCACCTCCAATAACTCTTTGATTGCTTACGCAATCTCCGAGTTAAAAACCGTGTCAAGTATAGAATAAAAGGCAATAAGGCTCTGCTCTGCTCGTGTGAAACTGACATAACTACACCTCCAGATTCAGAATGAAGTAACTTGTGGTGTAATTTCTTACAAGTGCTATCTTGAGTTGTTCTCACCACATTAAATGTCCCCCAAGCTGAGGGCAGATAAGTTGAAGTCCCAAGGCTGAGGGACATTTAATCCCTAAT